GTAGCAGCACTACCTTCCACTCCTTTTCTAGCTTAGCTTGCGCCAGCCCCGAAAAAGGTATCAAAGAGCACGACAAACACACACACACACACACACGTGGCTATAAATTTTGAGCATAAGCTCCAAGGAAAGCATCTCATCTTCCAGCCTGCCCCGTCAAAAGTAGTCTGTCCTTTTTGATCTTTTTGGAATTATCAGAATCAGTTTTGAGGACCTGGCTTTCCTACCCCTGTCTGCTGTCAGTGGTCCACTCGCATGTATTGATGGTGGCCATTGATTGTCCCAACTCCAGCTCCTGCAGGTTGACGTGGTGACAACACACCCCTGCCCCTGTCAGACTCTTCTCATCTACGAGAACCACCCAGTGGTTTTCAACTGTTTTCGGGGTCCATGTGAATCTACACGAGAGTCGGTACCTTTTCCACCACCCGCGCCAGCACCCGCCGCAGCACACGTCCCACACCTTGAAGCGTTTCACCGTCCTCAGCACACGCGCCAGCCGCAGCAAGCGCAAACCTGTGGGCTTCGCACCAGCAGGTTACAGCAGCGGGTGGTGCGGGTTATTATTGCAAATTCGAGTGCGCTCATTAGGGGTGGTAGCTGGTCGGAAAGCACTTCTAGGACCAAAGGGGTCATGGAAATGATACGCAAACAAAAAAAAAACATATATAATATTACTGCTGTTGTGCCTCAGAAACACAACAATTGAACCATCAATCCTGAGGGGAGTGCCAGCTAAGCGTTCAGAACTATCCACTTTGCCAGGAACCCAGCGCAAGCTTGCTTGCAAACGATGTTGTATTAGGATGCGAAGCCTGACCGCATACTGCGCATTCCGGACCGAATGGTTCCCTGCCTCTGACAATCAAGAGCTGCATCCAGCCTTCCTGGGAGCTGGTCTCTGACTCCACCAAGGGCACAACGACCAAGGCAATCAGACCGACACAAACCAAAAACAAGTCCAGCCTCAGTAGAGTTGCCGAGGTAGCTCACCCCAGCCGACCCCACATGTCCACATGTCGGTATGGATTTGACCCCGCTGCAGGTGTCAGGATTTCACATCCGCGACATGCCAAAATCCAGCACAGCCAGAAAGAAAACACTAGCTGACTATGTTGGCACACTGGTGGCGGGGGGAATCAGAACATGCCATTAAATGGGCACGGGGAAAGCTCCAGGCAGCAAGTGCTACAGCAACAATTTGAAGGCACTGCAGCGTAGACACTGTAAACCCCGCCACGTTGCACAGATGTTGGGGCCGAAATTCTATGGACAATGCACAGGAACAAAGTTAACCTTTAAATAATCAACTAATCAATGGAGATCTTCAGCTTCAGAATTGCAACAAAACATGGTGGACAAAGAACCCTCCAAGTGACGAATCGCATTCTCTAATATTCTAATATGTTGGACAAGAAAAGCTGTTGCCAAACATACGGGTTATTTTTGTTGTGTATTCATGATTGTATACCACATAAAACATATATACCCCACCAGGCTCTGGGCTCGCCCTCCGAAATTTGGCGCTGTGCGACCCTCCCCCCCACACCCCGTATACTCACTTCGTTCGCCCAACCCAACTCCTGCCTAGCCTATCGGCTGGCTTTCGTGACCATATAAATTATATATATGTACGAGGGACCTCCATATATGTGTACGAGGGATCTTGGTGATATACAAAATTACGTTTCCAGTCCTCTTTTCATAAAACGCAAACATTTCCGAAAAACGGAAAAAAGTACACACAAACAATCAGCAAAACAAACATTCACTCAAACAAACAACACATGCCTGCAGTGAACAATGCACACCTTTACATTCCATTGCTCCATGGCTTTTGTAAATCTACTTTAAACAATCACTATATGTTCAATGTCACAATGTGTGATTTGTTTTTGTGTTGGTGGGCTGCCAAAGTCCAAATCCCAGGAACTATAATGATTTATTATCAGTGTGGATGGAGAAAAGGGAGAAAATAATACTAAGTATCATGTGTCTTCATTGTGGAGGGAGAAAAGGGTGAACAGGGGAGAACATAATATAACCGCCGTTTAAGCAATCTTTTTCAGAACCCAATCACTATGAGTTGGCTAAACTTTTGTTACTTTTCTCTTTTTTATTGCTTTATAAGGGCTGGTTGTGAATTACACTATGCCTATCGTACATCCCCCATGATTTGGAGATCTACTCATTTATAGGCTACTGGCAATTTGCTATAGGTCATTATTAACAGACCATGCCATGACCAAATTTAAGCACACAAAACACAAAGGTTGGACAAACCCATTGTATAAACCCCTTACCCTCTAAAAGTCCATCGTATTTGCGCACACCCTCCGACAAGACCCACTTTATAAACCCCTGACCCTGCCAAGGCCCTCGTATTTGCGCACGCCCTCCACAACAACCCATGTTATAAACCTCTCACCTTGTCAAAAGTCCCTCGTATTTGTGCACACCCTACCACAAAAACTCATTTTATAAACCCCTCACCCCCATCGTATTTGCGCACACCCTCCCACAAAACCCATCATGTTATAGACCCCTCACCCTGCCAAGGCCAATCGTATTTGTGCACACCCTTCCACAAAAACCTTTTTTATAAACCCCTCACCATGGACTGGACTACTATGTATGATATGTAGTTTGTCAACCGGTGTTCGCGACGAAGCTGAATGGCGAGGAGTGGGCCAGTTCTCCGATAAACAGTGAGAAAGCACCCCCTAATACAAATAATATGTAAACTCTTTCATAAGCTCCTTTTCGTATGTATGCACCTAAAGGCTTTGCAAGCAGCAAGCAAATGATGCAGGATGCCCTGGACATGCACATACTTTTTCACTCTTATATACGTTGCCTATTCTTCAGGCCGAAATTGAATGATACAGAACATGAAAAGATGTGAACGTGCAAGTGCGCAGAAGGTTTCAACCTAGGACAGGAGAGGGAGGGAGTGACAGACGAAAAGTAAGCCTACAACCTAACTTTTATGCTTGTAATGCAATGGAGGACTCAACAAGGATCGCACACCCATGATATTGTTCAATTTTGGTCACAATAATCTCATGGGTGCATTTTGTCTGTATGTATGCTACTCTACTCTGCGCTATTCTACCTGGATAACTAGCCTAGTCTATCTTATCCTGCCATAGTCTTTGACACACTCATTTAAACTCGAGTTGCATCTTTACAATGGTTTCCAATAGTGGTTAGAGCCAAGATCAGATCTTTACACAGCCGACCAGAACTACCTTGTACTTTGTCAACCACAGACCAGGACTACTACAGTAGTTATATATTATATTATATTGTATTGTATTATATTTTTGTTATATTATATTATATATATATTGTTATATACATGTAGTTTATCAACCTGTGTTCGCTTCTGCTTTATCTTTTACCCTATCCTATGCCACTTCTCCTGTCTGTCACCAACCTTGCTCTACATTTATTTGGCATAGTGTATTATCCGAGTCTTCTTTGCACAATCGTTTTTTTGAATAGAATACAGTAAAGTACAGCAGCTGGGACGAAGCTGAATGGAGAGGAGTGGGCTAGTTATCCGATAAACAATAAGAAAGCACCCCCTAATATACCAGTAACCAATATGTAAACCCTTTCATAAGCTCCTTTTCGTATTTATGTACCTAAAGGTTTTGCAAGCAAATGATGCACTCTAACGCTCTGCAGGATGTCCTGGAAATGCGCGTACTTTTTCACTCTTATATACTCTGCCCATTTACCCTACTATTGTCTACTTGAAGGGAGGTATGAAAGGAAGACTGCAGATCGAAATGACATAGAAAGTGAAAAGATGTGAACATGCAAGCGCGCAAAAGGCTTCAACCTAGGACAGGAGAGGGAGGGAGGGACAAACGAGAAGTAAGACGACAACAAAACTTTTCTGGTTGTAATGCTGCAGGATGTGCTAGAAGTTTGTTTTCCCGCCCATATTCTCTGTGTTCATGTCCTCCGTTACTCAGAACGCAGGCTGTGCAAAAAGTCCATAGGAGAAATGGATGACGCAACAAGGATCAACAAAGGGCAAGAACCACACCCATAATATTGTTCAATTTTAGTCGCAATTATTGCGTGGGTGTATTCTGTCTGTATGTATGCTACTCTACTCTGCGTAATTCTACCTGGACAACTAGTCTAGTGTATCTTACCCTGCAGTAGTCTTTGACACACTCATTTAAACTCGAGCTTTATCTTCACAATGGTTTTCACTAGTGTTTAGAGCCAAGGTCAGATCTCAGCACAGCCGACCAGAACTACTTTGTCCACCCGAGACCAGGACTACTAATTATATATTACATATATCATATATATGTAGTTGATCAACCTGTGTATCTTTTACCCTACCCTATACCACTTCTCTTGTTTGAATCCCACCAGGCTCTACGTTTATGTGGTAAGGTATATTATCCAAGTCTCCTTGCATCTTTGGCACAATCGTTTTTTAGAATAGAGTAGAGTACAGCAGTTGGGACGAAGCTGAGGAGTGAGAGGTCGTTATATTATACGTAAAGGTCCCCCCCCACATATATACTGTATATATATATACGCGCAGTTCCAATTCTCTATAGTACTTCTTTGAGGAAGCATCCCGTCCACTCATCAAAGCCTTCCTTCTCTGGCCGAGAGGCAGGAACCAAGCACTTTTGAAGTTTCTGCGGCCACCGGCTGCCAAACGCAAAAGCAATTCCACCGTATAAAGCGCCAGAAACACCCTTTCGATGTCTTGCGCCCAGGCAGTCTCGATCTGCAGCAAGGACATTTCAGCCTGGGAGGTCGAGGTCGCCACTGCTCCGAACATCCTAAAATGTTTAAGGTCCGGGAGGGGTACAAGCTATATAATTAGTAGCTATTAAGCTATTTTAGTAAGATGCTACTACCAGTGCTACTACCTAGGACGCAGGATAGCTCACGCTGTTTATTTGGTTCCTAGACATTTATTTAGGGACATTTAGTCATTCATCCCTTGAAACTCTACCCGATGCAACCGTGAAAGACTGCCATGAGTGATTAATCTGTCTGCAGGTTGCACATTAACCACAACATATAGGACTTGATGGCTTCCTGTTTTATTGGTTCATCTTTTAATAATGCCAATGGGCGTGGAACCGATATTTGCAATTGAACATTGTCAGTAAATGAAGCCATCCGCTTGGCATTGTATGCTTTCAATATCTTTCAATACTGTACGAGTTGAGTTTTGCATAACACCCAACTAACTATTCCATACTCTCTTATTCCGGACTGGCTTGCATCATTTGCTCTAGACTCTAAGGAATCACAAGGATATCCGGGGACCACCATCCATTGGCCCTTTTGGGTAAACTGATGTTTTGCCACAACCAAGTAATTTGGACGACTGTTATGTCGCGTCGGATTTGGATGATGTGAAGTTTCAAGTCTTACCTTCAGGGCCACTAGAGAGAACAGTGCACCTGATCTGTTTGATTTGTTAAAACTAATTTGCATTAATCATTAATTTGCACTTAAAGGAAGACATACTATAGGAAGACCACGTTGTTTCCGTAAGTGAGGTTTGGGTGAGGTGAAACATGATAGAATATTGTACCCCGCAAAAGCTACCAAGAAGGCACTCCAGGATTGAACGTTCCTTCAGTATTCCAGTGCATCCACCCTCTAAGGTGAAGTAAACAACACATCGCAACATATGTCAATATATGTCATACGTGAAATGTCAAACATCAGTTGACTTATCTGTTCAACTGTTCACGCATTTCATGTCCCCACTCGCATTGACAGCTCACAAGGCCTCCACTCCAATCAAACCAATGTTTGCCAGAATCAACACACCAGTGATGTACTCGAAGGCGTTTGATTCCACAACCTCAGTGGCCAAAGGCAAAACAAAGGTGTCTCCTGTCCGCCTCTTCCCTCCTCCTCACGTCACCAGCACCTCAACCAACCGATCACCAACTCATCTCACACCAACTCAACTCACTGACTCACCCACCCACGCCCTCCATTCCTGCCTCCCTTCCTCCCTCCCTCCCTCCCTCCCTCCCTCGAACTCACCAACTCACTCAGCCACTCCCTCACCCACTTCCCGACCCACTCTCCCTCCCTCCACTGACTCACTCACTCATAGCAACATAGGTTCACCATCGTCATTCACGTCACCGTCAATCATCCGCTATCATTCCTCTTCTGCTTCTGCATCCACGCAGCTTAGCACAAGTACGCTTCACATGTGGGGTTGTTCGGTCCAATTATGGAAGACCCGTCTGTGCAAACAGAACAACGGACCAATTGGGTGCTCTTGGGATTCCAAACTTGATTTGGCATCGGATATCTGAATCCGGGTCCTGCCGGTCCTGCCGGTCATGCATCCAAAAAGAAGTGCCTGGGGGTTCACCTCTGGTGATCGACAGAACATCGACAGAACATCGATGTTAAGGGTCTCATGTCCCGGTCGCGTGTAATTATTGACAGTCATCCTGGAGTAGATAGAACATTGTCAAATCCAAATCCAATGGAACACTGATGATGTTCTTTTTTGATTGGATTACTTGATTCATATTCTGTCTACTCCAGGATGGTTATACAAATATACAGTTGGGTGATGCATGTGGGACTATCGGTCTATCCCCTTGCGGGGAAGCTTATACCAGTCAGGAATGGAGCCATACTAAAGAAACCGGAGTGCAGCATAAAATGATACAAAAAACATTGGGAAGTGCGTGCTACGTGCGCAATGTGTATTTCGGGACCACTCCCCCAGCACTATGCAGATGTTAAAGACCCTCAGGTTCACCATCTTGAATGAAGGCTGTTCCATCAACTGAGCAGCTCAGGTGGCTGCTAGTCAACAGCTTGCAAAGCGGCTAAAGGGTTCGAAGGGCCCCTCAAACCACCATGGAAAAAATACATCAAAACCTGCCAAGGCAGCTTCCAGGTGACCCGCTTCAGTGTCTGGTGCCTGTGGCCCCAAATGGTCATACTGTGCGTGGCTTGACCACGAGCCTCGAGCACCTCCTCCAGAAGCTTGGGAAAGCGCCCGTCCGTGCCGTGCGTCTGCCGCCACTTCTTCACCTGAAAAGCCGGGAAAAAGAGGTCCAACCAAATCCAACAAGGCAGAGTCTTTTGAAGGAACGTCCTGAACCCAGCATATGAAGACCATCTGTGTCTTAGGTGACTTCTGTCTGTAGTGATTGCTTGTGCATGAAAACACTTCCCGATGTTCCACAACAATCGATGGCAAGGGGCCATGGCCCTATGTTGGACGAGGCACAGTTCACCTGCCCCCCAATGTCAAAAGCAAGTCGCAGGTTCACCACTGACCGGGTCTTTCAAGATCCTTCTAAGAACAGTTACTGTAAACTGTCCTTCCTTCGGAAGTTGTGACAATTGGTGGAGGTCTTTTCGTAGTCTAAAGACTCGTGGACATCTCGTGCCGAGTGGCGATTGCCGCTGTTTCTGTTCCTTGCTCCCCTTCGGTCGCTTCGGAGATCGGCACAAGGCCCAAGTGTGGATCACGCACCTGGGGAATAGCGGGGCGTTCTTCGGTGGTGACGGTGACGGACGTCCGCCCGCTTTTGGCGTTCTTCGGCGAAAGTCCCTATAGCCTATAGTACTATAGATCCAGCCTGAGAGGGTTGGGACACTCACACCTTCGAGGTGTGTAAATCATAATCTTCAGGCTTGAGGTGATTTTGTGTCAGAGGTTGCAAATGCACGAGGTGGTTCCTGCTGGTAACTCAGTACCTGTATGCGTTGAAGGTCACCATCTTCTCTTGTTCAAACGACTGCATGTATCTAATCTAACCCTCACTGACACTAGCTCGGAAGACTGTCTGTAGCTCCTCAAGCCGGTTGGATGGAACGGGATGGATGCCAAAAATACATTGAGGACATCACATACTGTAAACCACGGCTACACATGGCGAGTCTGGCATGACCAGTGTGACATGTCTAGAACGGCTGCCCGGGTTCGGCCAAAGCTCATGTGAACCCGATTTCGGACAGGGTAATCACTTCAGTCATGGCAACCGAGGCAGCAGGAACGAACTGCGAAGAGTCATGGCCCAACGGGATGAATGGCCCAACTTTTTGGGAACGATTTTGTCAACGGTCTCTAAAGATATCTAAAGGTTTTATTTGTCTTCCTAAAGGCCCACACGCCAAGGAACAGCAATGAACAGAACAAACACACACACACACATGCCACATACACAGATCTTGAACATCCAACCCCACCTCCTCCGCGATCACCTCAGTGCTCTGAGAGAAGATGATCTCGCTCACCGATTCGCTCATCTCTCCCGGTACCTTGAGGTTGACTTTGGACGACGAAGATGAACCCCAAACGTATACCATACTAGTACTCCTACTAGTCCAAGGACCGAGTGAAAAGGACCCAGCGAATGATAGGACCCAGTGGAAAAAAGTCCTCGACAAGGATTTGAACACACATTCTGCGCCAAACAGATGCAAGTTCACACGAAAATGTCCAAAATGAGCGTCCGCCATTAAGACGTCGTGTTGCATTTGGGCATGGGTTTGGATTCGTGCCCATGGGCCCGGCCTGGTCCGAAGCTTGGAGTCGCTCCGACGCTTGGAGCCCATCAAATCGTCCTAACAAAGTGGTGACACACTGCTGCCACTCCTCATGCTGTTGCCTCAAGAGGTCCATCGCGGCCAACGAGTCCTGAGCCGCGTCCAACGAGTCCCGGGTGGAGGGCAACGTGCTCCGGATGGAGTAACCTCCGAGCTGCATCCCGTAGATTTGTTCATTAAACATGGTTTCAGGTGGTGCATGTTGTCCCTCATCTGTCTCTTAACTCGTTTGCGGAGTTCCACAATTGCAGCGTCTGCCAAGACTCATGTTGCTGCTTCTGGAGTTCTCGCAAGGTCCACGTCAATTGCGCGGACATTGCGTTAAGGCGTGGCACTTTAGGAAACAAAATAGAACAAGCATCAACAAGGCTAATACTCTCTGCAGGCAAGCATTTTCAGGCTGAATCTATAATATACATGCATATACATGCATATCTAATCAATTCTGCTCTCAAATGCGCTAAATTTGAGCCAAACGGACTTGCTATGCTGGAAAACATTATCTGCGCGTGGCAGAATCATCTGGGCCTCCGGAAGGAAACAAAACAAACAACGATTGGAGCTGGGTATGTGTCCCCATATGTCCCCATGTCCAGACATAGGCTGGACTCACGTCCCCTTCCCTTGACTCGCTGGAACACTCGGGAATCGCTGACTATCGACGCTGGTGTGTCAGAGCTTTGGTGAAGCCTTTGGAACGTCGACTGCCTGATGTCCTGCTTTGCGTTTGAAGACTTCCGAGATCTTCCGAGTTGTTGAGGCTTCCCACGACTTGCCACAGACGACACAATGCCCATGTCTCGGCGCCTTCTTCCGGTAGAGTGGCAACATAATATTCCTTGAATTCGAGGCCCCTTCGGGGTGCCTGTGTTGAATGTTCGGGAAAGTGAACCCTACAATTATACGTATTAAAATAACATAAAATCATGTAGAATACGGAATACATACATCTGACATCATCTGACCAATATAGCTCAGCGCCTTCGCCAGGGCCTACCCTCACTAGGGCCTACACTGCGTGTGTGAAATGCCTACACATTCTCCATGTTGATGTATCATGATGCATTAGTTACTATATATACAGGGGAATGTATGAGACCAGAGGAACTTGAAGCAAGTATGAACGGTTATCCTTAGAGCGAGCAGCAAAGAGTTGGTCTTAACACATGCAGTTGATCTCCCTGTAGGGTGGTAAGGAAAATGGTAAACAATTTTTAGCGAGAACTTTGAAGAGTATCAGTATTTTACTGTTTGGCGAATAAGAATTAACTCTATGAAAACACCACAACACCAAAAATGTAACATAATGTTTGGCAAGCTGCAAAACATGTTCTTTCTGGTTTCTGTGGTGTGTAGTAGTATTGGTTGGTTAATTTTCCTTGTGTTTTGTATTTGTTCACCAAATGAGAAATCCTTCAGTGTTTCTGCTTTTTCACTAAACAACAAGCAACTCAAGGAACATTTAGGTTTTGCAGCAAAAACAACGTGCCCTTGGAATGTTCAACAACAAGACCAAACAGAAAACACAGGAAACCAAAAAGGACTTCAGCTGACCAAACATTGTGTGTGTATGTTGTATTGTTGGTGTTGCTTGGCTTCTTTGTTTTTGTTTTTATTTTAAAGTACTGTTTGCCAAAGTCCGGCATCCACTTCTTATATGTTTATGTTTTTGTTCCATCAGAATGCACTTGTTCAGACTTGTTCAGTCAATATAAAATACTTCATGTCATTGCATGCTGCAGTGTTTGAAACTGTTCAAAACATTCATGTATATGTATGTATATATGTGTGGAAGCACCACCATTGATTTAGATGGTGTCATGGAGATATCAAAAAGTAGGCCCTCGAAAGGGCGCTGACCGTGTGAATATATATATAACTCATATAATCATACATGCAAGTACGCAAAATAGGTGGCACGCACTCAAGTCGCGAGAAACCATTACAACAACATTTCAAACACCTTCCCAACCCCAGTATGGAGTGGTTCCCGTAACACAATGGTTTGAGATTGAAAGCAATAACCTCTGAGAATGGTGGATGGTGGAATGATTGCGCTTTGCTTGACAAGCGGGTACATTATTTAAATGCATGCCTCATTCCCCAAGTGGTTTCGCTGACTTCTCCCTCAAGACTCATCAAATAATGTCAATCAAGAACATTGGCCCATAGCGTCTCCGCTGATCTCCAGTCACACCACCGATGTCATGTTGCTCATCTACAACCCCAAAACATCCCAAAACCCAGGCTGTTCAGCAGTCCTTTCTTCCCGCAGCTTCTCGACGATCTCGGGCTGGAGCCCTAGACCTGCATGGTTCAGCCTCAGTGATGCCATTGAGAAAAGGGCGGCCTGGTTTGAGCCATTTCAGGTAGTAGCATTTGCTTGTTTTGTCCTGTTTCAGCCAACCAAAAGACAATGGATCCATTTTCCTCATACCTTCCTAAGTTTTAATGATCTGATATGAACAAAAGCAAACGTCCATAGAATCGCCATGAATTGCGAAACTGTCCGGCTACAGTACTTAAAGTGCAATGGACAATGTGACAATGGCAAACATTGAAACATGACTGGCCCTGAGGCGTCCAAGTTCCAATGTCTTAGGACACTTGTCCCGCTTCATGTCCCTAGCAACTGCCAGCCTTCAGCCTTCCTCAATAACACTAAAGCTTGGTGAACTTCCATGCATGTTCTGACCATACCACCCAGTGAAAGAAGTAACAAAAACAGTTAGCCCAATATGAGAAGCAGCTTTATGACACTGGCTCCCCGTGGCCAATTGTTGCCCGTCGCGAAACAATTGATGAAGACAATTGCAGCTTGAGAGCTTCAGCATCGTCTGCAAGAGCCGCTCTCTTTTGTTTAATTCTTTGTCCAAGGTCATGAGCCGAGTTCGGTTCCGCAGGTTCTCCTGGTTCGGATTCGTGATCGCGAGAAGGAGAGAGGCGTGGTTTCGTCGTCTTCGTCCGTGCGTGGCGAAGAGAGTGGTTCGTCATGATTCGTTATCAGGGGGAAGAAAAGCGGTAGAAACAACTTCAATTTGTGCCAGCACCATCCAGTTCGGATGGACTTTCGGATGGTGGTTGGATGAACAATGCATGGTCAGGGGATGTCAGGGGGTCTATTAGAAACTCTTTGAGTGTTTGCTGGCACATGGGTGATTCAAAACCCTGCCGAGGCCTACCTTCTGGCGGCTTGGCTTGTGTCACAAGGGACTCTTGAAATAGTCGCTTTTTGGCTGGTGAATCCAGGATCCCCTGTCTCTGTGCCATGCCAGGTCTGGCAAGTGTCTAACATATTCTGTCATGGGTCGTTCTCATCTTCCCGTGTCCGGGCAAACAAGAACGGCCCGCACACACAACCACTCCGCAACGAGCTCTGTGCCTCGCTGGTGCTGTTGATGAGGCACTTGAGTTCTGTACCTCGGTGGACTGGGGTGGCTTTTCGCGGACTCCATGCGACGTCCACCCTTGGACAATACATTGGGGCCCCGCAGCTACATTGGTGAGATCCGTGTTATTCGGAACAACCTCTTCAGTTGACGCGCTCTTGTAATGCCTTTCCTCAACCACAACAACAAAAACACCCCCCCCGAGTGCTCCTGTAGTAGGAAGCGCCCCCGGCATGCAAAAGACCTTCCAACGCTGTCGAGGCACATTGCTTTTGGAGGTCGTCAAGGCGTTTCTCTTTGTCAATGCCGTGGGCTTTCTGCCGCGACATTGGCCTGCCCAGCTGAATCAAACAACCCTTGGAATACTCCTTCGTCCAACTATGAAAAATGCTAATCTTCCTAAGCATCCCTAAACAAGCAATTTGGCGTTCGATGTTTGGTATTTGGGGTGGGTGCTACCTATGTTATGACTTCTGATGCCCTTGCGGCCACGGTGGGTGAATATACTGATTGTTTGGATTGTCTGAGCTACCTACGTCAATGGTGTTCAGCGGCCACTCAGATCCATGTCTGTGCGGCCTCCGCGTCATTGGGCTCCGTGTGTGGGGACGGCCGCTTCGTCCATCCTGGCATTGGATTTAACCGGCAGTGCGTGTACACCTGACCTGGGTTAATGTTAGGGCAAACATATCAGTCACATATCAATGACATGTGACAAATTGTGACAAGCAATTACTTATTAAGTCATGCTATAATATATTGTATGGGGTGTGCATAGGTATGCATACAAATAATGTATTTAAAACAATACATTAAAAATCAATCATTTACGCGAGCTTATTGTCGCATTGATCAAATCATGGTCAATGTTCCAGAAGTTCACACAAACGAAACGCATAGGGCAGACACCAAAAGGTGCTGTGTGAACTTCAGGGCGTTTGCAAAGGAGAAAGAAGCAAACAAGCCAGAGCTCGCTGAACAATGCTGAACATCGAATCTTTGGAATGGAGTTAGGGCCATTTCTTCCCTGGTGTAGTCTGCAGTGCCAACCACAATAAGTTCCATCAATCATGTCTGATTTCTGGCTAGCGGCTACCCAAAAAAATATTCAACATGTCAAAATCCTCCTGAAATCAAGCCTCACAACTCACAACACTTCTGGGAGTCTCCATGACTTTCCTGCTTGATATGTTTTAGAACCACAGACGTGGTCAGGACTCTCCACCCGACTGCAGAGCTCCTTAACACGACTGCGAAGGCCGCTTCCAGGACGGCTCGCCATTGCGCCGCGGAGGATTTGACAGAAGGGATTCCCCCGTGACCCCCGACTTAGCCTCTCTTCTGGTGGGTGGGAAGGAAGCTGCTTGCTTCTTCCTGTCGCAAACAAACCTCACTGATGAGATGAGGCTGGGATATGAGGTGCAGTCTGGGCCATGGCATGGTCACCAATACAGCATTGGAGTCACAGTTGCATGGATCTAACGCTGGAGATGCCAGGGGAAAATGCTCGGAAAACAAGCCAGCTCTCTTGTCTTCTCACCCTTAATTCACCGACTGGGGAGATTCAGACTTCTTCCAAGAGCCCACGATTGTTGGGATCACTTTGTTGTGCGGACTTCTTGGCATTTCGCTCATCTGATGGTTCCGTCTGTCCATGTTGGTTCCATCTGCGTCGTCTGTATTTTGGTCTATCGAGTCTTGCGATGAATTCCTCAAGCCAAGGTGGGGCAAAAGCGAATGGCTATCAGACCAGAACTCAGAGTAGAATGGTTCTGTAGCCGACTTGTTCCTTCTACTCTCAACCTACTCACATGGGACAAATGACACACGTCAAATTTACATAATGTTACAAGTGATAATAATAAGTGTCGAAACAAAAGGATACAATCACCTCTTGTGTGTTTATGGCATGGTGATCGGCATGATCCCCCCACTGTAGCAGCCATCATCTATTGCCAATCTCTTGCTCCGGTGCCATCGCATGCCCCAAAGGAGATCTTTTGCATACGACGCCCGCCCGACTGTCTGGGGGGCCACGTGGGAACTTCATCACTATTAAACAAAAAAGCCTGAAGTCAAGAGCTGTGCATGTTTGAGGAAAATCATCGTGGGGTTTGTGCCGTCTGCTCTGAAACCACTAAATATACTCCCTCAAGACTCTGGGCTCAATTCCCAAATGGTGACTTGAATAAGGTGAGGTGGCTGCAGGAGTCGAAGAATTGTCGTGCCCTTCATGACCCGCGAACCTCAAACTGGCCAAAGCGGAACTTGAGCGTTGCAGGCTGCTCTCGTAGTCCTCGGCTGCACAAGCAGCTGAGCCGGGCCCCGTTTCAGGTGATCCTGTTCACAGAAGTCAAAAAGTTCATCCAGTGCCCAGTAGACTGACCGAAGTGGCTCACTCCCATGGAGGCAAGCGTGGATCGAGAACTTCTTGGGCTCAATAGGTAGTCACTGTAGTCCTTCAAATCTGAAGAAACCCATGCGCCTGGTGACCGGGTGATATCTGAAGATCTGTCTATATTGAGAAGACCGGGTTTCAACCAGCCACCACAAGTCTTTGGGCATCTTTGGGCCATCCGGCAGCCATGCGCCGCTGCCGTGAATCGCAGTCCGCACGTGCCGTCTGGAGGGGTGGCAGTGGCGCGGGGTGGCAGCAGGGAGCCCGACAACAGGATCAACAGGTATACGGTACTGGTATGGGTTGAACTTGGGTATATCCCATGACCAGTGACAGTGGATGATTATGGTTCGGGCCTTTCTGAAAACTAACGATAATCGTTGACCGACTGTTGCTGCATGTTGCTGCTATATAATGAAGCACGCCCTAGGTTGAACATCTATCACTAAACATTATCAAATAGATTCAAAGAGTGCCATATCGGTTCTCTTCAGCGTGATGACTTTTGCGTAGTTGACAACACTGCGGGGACCTGTCTGGTGTTGATGTAAAATAGCTCCTGCTCCTGGTCCGTATCCATTGGAAGCAGGCAGGCTTAGCCTTTTAGTTGTATGCTGCGACCTAGTAAGCACACTTAGCATCCATGACAGGATATCTTGACGCACTGGCTTACACAAGCTCTTTCGTCAACCTCCCAGCCACTTCAAAGCTCCACCGAGCATGGTAAAACATACAAACCAAATCAGAAAGCAATTCAGGTATCCTATCAATGCTGTGGAGCATGCCTTTCCTTTGTAGAGGACCATTTTCTCTACTCCATGTTGGTGACCTAATAGAGTATATATAAATATACAGTAAACATCCTCGCCAACTGCCCTGCTGAATAGATGGGTAACCTCACCTGCCCCCTTTTCTGTCCACATCACCCATCCCAAGAATTGGCGATAACAAAGAGCTCCGTCCCAGCATTTCACAACCCAAACCATCAACAAACACATCATATCTTTGTTGGCATTGCTGCAGTGCTGTGAATGGACACAAATTGTGGCAGTTTGCCTCTGGCTTGAACAACATCCAGCTTGGTGCTCTAGTCACTATATAGTCAAGTTTGCATATTGAGAGATTGCAAGAACATGCAGGAACCACTGGAAATGGCCAATTGGAAAGGAGATTTAAACCGCAGAGGCAGACCGTCCATACCCATAGTATCTCTTTCACCTCGAGCTCTGGGCAAATTGGCTACACATACCTGTGAGTAATGAGGGACTGAACTGACTAAGGCACACGATTCTTAATGGTCTATAGTATCAGAATGCAAGAACACAAATGAGTCCACCCAATAGTTGGTTTTCTACGGTTTTCTGCTGATTTTCCTGGAGAAGAAAGGCCCAAAGTAGATCTCCTCGAGAAAACCAACAACCCTGAAGCCCGGACCTTTTCATGATTGTCCTTTAGACGTTCTACAGTTGCTCTACCTTAAAGAGCCCTGCAGCAGCCGCTCCTGCAGCTGCTGCCGTAGCCGTTCCAAGCCGTCACCTGGCACCGAGGTTTGGCCGTCCTCGGTCTGGTGCATTGGTCTGTGTCGCTTCCCGGAGAAAAAGGCCGATGACAGTCTGCAAAACGATGACCGATACTCATAATCGCTGTTAGGTTGAAGGCCATCACTACGGGCCATAGCTAGTAGGTCGGAGTTTGCTTTTTCCGAACGGCTCCATCGGCATCGCCACGTGGCCTGAGTGCAGTGGAGTTCGTCTCAAGGTCTCCAGCTCCGTCGCGACCTTGGGACTCATGTTGACCGACCCCAATAGGTTTTGAACATGTATATTGATGCATGCAATAATATATATATATATTACATCGAGGAGTCCAATGGATTGTTTGGACAGTTCAGGTGCATCATTATCCTTTTGAAGTGGTCCAACTCTGAATCAACTCAGCACACAAAATCATTAGCTCTCAGGCGTCGCCGGGTTCTACGTATGAACCTGTGTGCATGGCCCGCCTGGACCCGCGAAACATGGATCTTTTCGAACTTTAACCCAACTCGAGGGTGTTTTCCCTCTACCAACCAGTGCTTGTCAGGGTCCATGTTAGTCTTCCAGGGTGTAAATCGAAATACCAAAACCCTTGACCTTCCCTCATGAAGCGAATAAGCCGTAGACTCATCCCTCAGGGTCTCGGGGCACGGCAGGTGCCGCACATTCAGATTTACACATTTGAGGTACCAGCCCCTCCCACAAAAAAAGAAACACCATACTCCACCAACTATTGACTGCACTCCCCAGAAATCCCTCGATCAACAGGTATATCCCACAAAATGACCACCTCCTTCATGCTTTATCAAGCGCTGTGCTTCGTCACCCAAGCTATCCAGGTCATCCAAACTGACCTTCGCTTCGTTCCTAGGCCCAAGACCTGTGCAAGCCGTGCCTGGCGGAACCGCTCCCAGTGAAAGAACCGCGGCCCAACGTCGACGCGACCCGTGCGCCGCTTGTGGAAGAGGTGGCGGTTTGTCAGCACTGCAAGGCGCATTGCGCTATCGTAGATGAAGCCTCAAATTCAATACTCTTGAATTCAATACGCGGGTTGATATCTCTTCGCGTTTGGGAACTTGACATGGCCCAAAAGCCCTGTAGAATCCTATAGATGCTTCAGTGTGACTAACCCCACATGGGAATGGTGGCCATTCCTACGGAAATGCAACCAGCATGCCACCGAGGAAACACAGCAACTGAACAAGCTAAATCATGTGTTCAATCTTTTCACCTACCAACATGATCCAACATGAATCCCTAGCCCTACCGGCATGTGTTCAATCACAGGAAACATGGCCTTCCACAGTCAAGTCTCGGGGTCCATGCTAGTTTGCGGGGGGTATATGTATCTACATGTTGTGTAATACCAATGAGTTTGGTTGATGTCGATGTCAAAGGTCCTTCTTCCAGTGGTCTTGGGAGATCTCCCTTTACAATCGCACACCCATTCCAGGTCTTTTTCTGATTGTGGGCGGTGCAGCAGCGCCTTCTACCTCAGACCAACGGAGGATTTAAAGATTTCCAACAACAATGGGCTGGGAGAAGTATCACCATGCTTCACCCACTGGTTGTAAAATGCTGTGCGCCAATTGCCAGTTTCAGTCTGGTCCGGTTGTCCACACCTCTATGAACATCAAGAGTTGGAGAGCACCTGGGATCTGAAAGTAGGTTCTCTGCGATCATGGGCATGGTCCATGGTGATTCTTGGGGTAACATGGACTTACTCATGGGATGACTTGAGTGGAGGACATGGACATTGATGTGGTGAAAAAGGAGTAGCACCTGATGGTTCTCCCCAAAGGAAGGCTTTGGTCGGCGCTCCGAATCCCCTCACCACACTCCACGCCTTCCACATCCTTCCATCAAACGGGGGCAAATCCTCTCACCCAGAAGTGTCCTTACAGGTTGTAGTCCATTTCCTTGCCACAGAACTTCTGGGCGACGCCAAGCCACGCTGACCTGTCACTCCTCGAAGTCTGACAAGAACTCCTCGACCAGCTGCAAAAGCCATCGGATCCTGATCTTCGACCATGCTATTGAGCGGTCCCTGCAGTTCGCTAGTTACTAAGTTGCCGTCAATAACTGTCTGTGTTTTTTTTTTTTGGGGGGGGTGAATATGGGTGAATACATGTGAATACTGTACAAACCTCCATCCACTCCACACTGGCCCGTTGAACGGGGAGTTCCTTTGGAGGGTAATTACATGTTACTTTGTGACACTGCCTTAATTGAATTTCCTGGAGGACCCTAAGACAATGCAACAATCGATAGTGCCCTACTGGAAGTTAAAGTGTCTGGAACTGGGTGAGGGGAAGAAAACTCGGACCCTAAACTGGCCCTAAACCCCGCACATCACCTGATTCGATCAATCCCCCCATTCCTCTCCTCGGCGGATGCCTTCGGAAAAGCCCCAAATTCACATCCACGTTCTCCGCCCGCGCGCGGAATTTCTCGGGAGTGTCGCCCATGAGCCGATAGGCAAAGACCTTGCAACGCTCAACTCAAGCGCCTGTAGTGTGGTGAAATCAATCCCTCCTATATATATAATAAGTTGAATATCATGGGATATCCTACGAGGATTTCAACAGGATACAAGATTCAAGATACGTCAAGATACGTCAATGGAGGGTCAGGATATCCTAGTGATCGCCATGCTCTCTGACTGAAGGTTCAGGTGAGTGACTGAAGGATCCAACGTCGGAAGGCGTTCAGTGGTCGGATCAGTCACATGTTGTTTCCGAACGCATGCGAAGGCTGAGTGGTTAGATGTGGTTCGGGTGCGAGGTCGGATCTCATGGAGTCCAAACTCTTTTAGATCCAACGATTTTACCGACCCTGTAGGCAGGGTGCGGCTGAGTCCAAAAAGACAACTTAAGAAATTTGGAGTGATGAGGAGGCACCAATCATCAGGCCAATTGCCGAATAACCTGCCACTAGCATTTGGGGGGTGACGAAGTGCGCATGTAAGATGCAGTTTCCGGAAGTACCAGGAAGGATAAACAGAGATGGGCATCAGCACCAGTGTAGGTTGTCCCGTTAACCCTTCAACAACGAATATTTCAGGGTTTTGTTCCAGGTGTTTATGACTTAACCTTCCACAATGTGAGGTAGATCAAAACAACATCCTTGACACTTGTCAACGCACTTAGCATCAGTGAGCAGCTAAAAACTACAACAAGCAATCCAGGTTCCCAGGTGTTTGCACAGCCATGTGTTCATTTCTATGTTTCATGGGTTTCATCAATCTATAGTTTCTTCTCCATGATCTTAAAGGTTCTACCTTATTCTAAGATTCAACACCTGGTGATTTAATATTCAGCTAGCCGCTAGCCGACATGCTAAGTCAATTGGGACAGGCATTTTCAATCAGTGATGAGAAAAAACACATACAAACCACCATCCAAACATACACATTTTCCTAGGTGTGTTTCCTAGGAAATTGGCACGAAAGTACCAACTCCATGCAGGTGGAGGGTCAAAAACAACGTAAATAAGGCACAAAAACAACCCCAAAGATCAAAACAACAACACACAGGAAAGAACAAAATTAGGCGATGCTGCAATAAAAGCATGGGACAAACAAGGGTCAAATAAAAACAACCAAGGATCAAACACATAAGAAGCAGCCGTGTAAGAATACACAATTTGAACACAAAGCAACAGTAAAAGCAATACTACTGGTGGTAGCATTCGTCGTGGTGGGTGCTTAGCAGTAGTAGCAGCAAAAGAAGTAGTTGTAGTACATAGTAAAGTGTAGCAGCAAAGTAACAGCAGCAGCAGAAGTAGTGGGAGTAGTAGTAGCACGAGTCGAAGTACAAGTAGTAGCAGCGGGCTGGGGGCAGCGCCTCTTTCATGGCCTTCTGGGTGCGTCGAGCACCACACAAAGCAAACCTTTCTGCCCGTTCGTTGTCATACTCATCCAATCAAACCCAGATCCAGAATATCATGTTGTCTCTATGGGCCCCGCACCCCAAATCTCAATGCTACAAATTCAACATATCTTTGTTGGTACCTTGAGGTTTGATTAGTTTCGCCCATTCCGCCCTACAGTCTCCGGAACCCCAGTCAACATTGAGCTTTGAGGGATGGGGGGGGGAGTGTATCTGGCAAAGGGTTTGAAGATGTTGCTTCCGTTCCTTCCTTTTCCGTTCCTTATCTTTCTCCCATTCCATGACTTGGAGACGCTGCATCCGGGAGACCCATCGAGCATAGTCCAGCGTGGCAGCTTTGAAGTCCAAAAGGAAGGCATCAAAGCTATAATTATATCTCAGTCAGTGTCGATGCGTGGACCTCCAAACCATAGCATCTTCAATATGGTTATGTATGTCAAATTCAGAGGGGTTCACTGGTTAACCCTCCTCATGTCATGGAGGAAATTGCAATATCCATTCTTCATACTCACCCTCCTGGCCCTCCTGGACCTTTGGATATCTTTGGATCAGGAACTTTCCACGCGGGACTTACCAAGTGGCTCTTTGTGAGAGGTTTGCTTTGCAAGCACAAGCTGCCCCCCGCACATCTCATGTTTGGGGCCAATGATCTACCCTGAAGCATCATAGCGAGCTCTCTGACAGCATCATAGAACCGCAACCGCCCTCAAATGAGCTAAGCTAGAAAACGCATCTCTTATTCGGCTCTATTCGTATTGAGCAAACGTTTCTTGTTCCATTGGTCATTGGTTTTCAATCTGGGCTTATCACCTCTGTTGAGCTCATTGTTGCTCCATTGCATGGAGCAATATGAACAAACTTGCAAACCTCAAGAACATGTCTGAACATGTTTGAATATCACATTCTACCTGACTTGCACTACGTTGCACAAGAACCGCCAGGCGAGTCGAGCACCGCGAATTTGACAGGCAACTGTTCCACAGCTCCAGCCGTTTGGATCAAGTGATCGTGGTACAGCTTCAGCCAACGTCTGGGATGTGGCAAAGCAGTCAGCAAGTGGCAAGGGTGACAAACATGTATATAACTATATCAAAGGAAAACAACATATATATATATATGTATAATCATGTAAGGGGGACACACATCTATGTTGGGGATGTATAAGTATGACTGTATTGGCCCCTTTTCAGCTGTTGGAGTTGTTGGCATTTGCCATATGGGGCGTGAACAGGAAAACAGCGTTAGGCGCATGAGTTGATGGGGGTCCCTGAAATGTCCTGTCATACATGTATTGTTCGTTCTTGGTTGACATTATTTAGTTTAACAACTGGTGACCAATAGGGCCCCCCCGAGAAAAAGAAACGCCCCTCATATCAATTGGAGGCCATCCCGCTGCGCCACAGCTGGATTCCACTCAAGTGGAGGGCTGATAAGAGCCCTAGTGTGCTGAAGGTTGTCGCTTGTCGCTTGCCACGCGGCTTAGGCATGATCATATCACTGCATTTGTGTTTGTTTTCTTTTAATCTCTCTCTCTCTCTCTCTCTCTGTGGTGGGCGTGACTCGTCACTGAGCCTTCCATCTTGATTTGATTGACAATCTGACAATCCCATCCATCATCCTGACCAGGAGCTGGTTTCTTGCTGACGCCCAGCGGCTGGTAGTCCTGCACAATCTCATCCTGCCAAACTAAACATCTTCAACCTCGTCTGAGTGATCCTCCCCACTGTCCGACACCTCATCCGTATACTGTCCGATGATTCGAGTCGAAACCTCACTGAGAAATAGGTTACAAGCCCCAGAAGTGGTGGTGTTTGGGGCATGTTTCTGATGCCTTATAGCATCCTCCCCGTTGTTCACTACTAACAGAGCCATAAGAAGTGGTGGTGCTTGGGGCTGCACCCAGTCGCACCGACCAGTGCGGACCCACGAGCGGCGCGAGTCCTACCGGTAGCGCCGAGTACTCCAACCGCTCAGCATACCAGGCGCCCAGCCATAAGAAGTGTAATCAGGACTGCTGTGCCGTCCAATCATAGAGATCCCACAAGTCTCTGGTCCCGCCGGGGGAAAAAACAAACCACATTGGGTCTTTTGCAGGGAGATGCACCAAGAAAGCACCTTTGGGTTCACCAGCCTGACCCGGATGAATTGCAACAAAGTGAGCAAATAGCAATTGAAATGTGCTTTGTTTGTTTGATTTGTTTCTGTGATTGTTCTGGGTCATCACTTCAACCACCGGGTTGAGCTTAACAGTGGAATGCTCTCATCTCCAGCTTGTCCCACATGCAAGCTACGACGCTACGACCTTCCAGCGTATGTTGGCGGTTTGCTGCCCCTCGTAGCTCAATAATCAGCAATCCATGTGGGATGCAACATGTTTCCAGCTGAAGCGTGCTGTGGATAACATGGAGAGTAGGATAGCTTCAATAGTGATACACGTTCTTGCACTGTTGCAGGGTGGGGAATGGATCCCGAAGACGGTTTAGACAAATTGAAATATGTGGGAGCTGTGAGCTTAGAAAGCTCGAACAGCTAAACCAAACGACTTTAATGGTATATAAATTTATATAATGTCACCCAAAAAAACATGAGTGAGACATGACTGGCAAGGAATGATAAACGTTCGGAAACACCTGAAACCAGCCTCTACTTGGATAGAACACTAGAATCCTGAAGATCACCTTAACGCCCCAACAAACCTAGCATGTCATTCTTCCAACCTATGAACAGCTTGCCCTTCTTCCTCAAAAAGCGACACGTTCCCGGCTCCTCGACACTCCCACAGAAAAGGTAGATCAGGTCCGTGGCACCCAGTCCAGGACCTGTCCACTGCCAGTCGAAGGCACAGCAGCCTTCGCCTCACGTCCAGTGACCACTGTGAGAAAAGACTCCGGCTGGAATTGTCGACCTCATGAGCTTTTTAGAATATGTTAGTATAAGATTTTTTACTATATATATATAGAAATACACTGAAAAATGTGGGATTGAATCACACTCTCAAAGCTTAGTGGGGAGCAACCCTTCAGGATTGGCGAATTTTGAGATATTTTGAACTTATTGCGGCATTCACATGGTTTTTGGAGCCCTCTTAGTAATGTGTAAGCTTTGACGATGGCATCTGAAGTCGGGAATGAAGGCACAGCGGTCTGCTCTGTGACAGACGGTCTGTCAGTGTCAGAATTCCTCACATGGCACTCCGGAAGCACTGATGGTGTTGGCATCATACCCACTGACCACCCAATATCAACCAGTGCGGCTTCGGGTCGACCGTATACCATCCGACGTTCACCTCGTTCAGCCCACAGGCCCTAGCCTGCAAGCGGCCCGTGCCTCGCCTTCATTCTTCAGGAAGTAGTTGGCTCCTTTGAAGTCCCCATGGACCAACGTCACGCGCGGTCGGTTCTCTGGCCTGATTTCGCACCGGTTGGCGCCCGGGAAGCTCCGTGCGGGGCGGTCAGACCGGAGCCATGGAACGCCGGAAGAAGTTCCAGTCATTTTACGGGAATGTAAAGAAGTCTCCCTCAGCCTGAGCTGAGCATGTCAGAAAACAACTCTTTCAACTGGGCTTTGCTAAAGGGTGACCATTCAACTAAAATACCATGTTGATTGCAAACTTGGCCACAGCATGCAAACACATAAAAACGACTAGTCTCCCGACAAAAACAGTTAAACGCACACATACACTCTATAGTACTTGGCACCACTTTCAACCACACCGGCTGTCCATATGGCGTTTTCTTCCTTTGGTCCACTCCGTCCAATTAAAATCCACTGACCGTCACTGACCCGAGCGGCCCTGGACTTAGGTGCTCCGAGACCTTCCGCGCCACCGACTGCAGGCGTTGCCCCAAGAGACGGCTCTCCGGGCGCCCGAAGAAGGGATCGAGGCCTGCGAAAGGGAGAGTGTGAGGCGACTGCCAAAAGGACGAAGGAGTCTGGGTGAGTCAATTCATATTAGTTTGATATACAACTACCGTAAGCGTATATAACGTTTTACTTTGCTTGATTGATTGAACGAATGAATGAATGAATGAATTAATTAATTATAATGATAATTTGATAAATGATAATGATAATGAATTCGATTGAATAAAGTGTGTGGCGGTTTGGTGAGTGTACTCCTCAGAACCCCCAACCGACCCAATGAATGGTAGTCTGGTAGTTGATGTTGCCCGTTCACTCGACCAGTTTGCCTAGCTCACTAGTGAAGAGTCTGGAGCAAAGCATGAGAACTTCTGCTGGAAGCTGGGAGGCTGTAGGCCCTACAGGCCGAAGTGATTTGCTCACAATTGGCATTATAAACGGCAACTTGTGTGTGTGTGGGCTGCATGGAGATCTTCCCAGGCTTCTCATCAAAATCGATTTGCCAGCCACACCTGTAGCGAAAGCCCTTGACTCAACCAAAGAGCAGCAGCAACAGGAATGTTCAGAATTTTGTCAATTGACTGAATCTGTAAAGTTATGTTATTGCATAGTGCTGAAGGCTACTGCTCAGCTCTGGAATCTTGGGCACGTCTGTTCTATTCCACGTGCAGTGCAGCAGCTCACACCCAAAGAGTGGGTCCATGAACGTACCTTATCCATCCTTCTCCCCCCTCCTCCAGCTGCCGATTTCGCACGCGACCTTCCAAACAAACCGCGCCTGCAAAATCCCGGCAAAAGTCCGCGATGCTCTGGGGCAGATTCTCCAGCTCCTTGCTTGGGCGCCGGTCCAAGTGGACGTGGGTGCCTGGCGACAGGGACGTCCGGCGGAAGGTCCAAGGCGACGTGGACGGCTTCCACTGTTCCGGTGCCAAAGAGTCATCTCATGGAAAGGAACCAGACAAGACTGTGAAACCCCTCAAATACAAACATCATTGGCTCACCTTTTGTGAACACAACATGAATCCCCCCAAATATCAAACATGTCATCCCAAAACTTCCAGATCAGCGGGGGGGGGTATTAGACTGCACCGATCGCTATCTGATATGCTTGGTATTAGGACGTCCTCAACTTCCTAACCACCATTATGTGGTGCCCGGAAAGGTTTCGGGCCTGAGTGAAACTGTGTTGATGGAGCTCGGGCAGCTATGGGAAACCTCTCACAACGAAAAGAACATCTTACAATCTTATATAAATAGCTTAAGTCCTTGCCTGATGGATGGTTGCCTCATGCAAATTATTGTGCTGGCAGGGGTATGTTGTTGTCTTTCTTGTGATTGCCTCACAATGCCTGCAATTGTTCTTCCCAAACAGCTGGGACATCCGGCCATCGATTGTCTTCTTTCTCTCTTCACCTCTGTCCATTGTACCCAAAGCACTGCCTTTCCCCGTCACGATTCACCGCCCATGTGCCAAAGTCCCAAAGAGTATGCTCAGGTAGAAGTCCCTGGAAGGCGCCATGGAAGCCTAGAATGAAAGTTGAGCCAAAGAAAACAAGTACGACCCCCACTTAACCCGGGCTTGAATTCCAAAGGCATCCAAAGACTGTTGTGGTAAGCCATTGTAAGAGCACCTCAGAGTTGAGCGAAGCGTCTTCAATGGCTTTCACTCCAACCAACTCACTTTCACGTGGAATGGCCTGGGACAACACCTGTTTCTTGCATCCTCTAGACAAGGTTGGCAGTTTTTGCCCAAGAGCAGGGGAGGTTTGACTTATGGGCATGTGTCGAATGAAACAGGAAGAACTCCCAAGAATACATCTGGAATACAACGAATTGCAAGACTCCCAATTGCTTGGTAGGGTCTGCCCGCTTGGTAGTCCCAGTGCCCATGTACTCATGTCCCCACCCCAAACGTCCGACGAGTCGGCGCGTTTCCACCGGGCAGCCCGCGAGCCAGCGGAAGACTTCCGGAGACCGCGTGGCAGGATGCACTGCCCAGGTCGTCCAGCTGGGCTTCAGATTTTCCTCAGGCATCGGCGGTGCCCCATAGATCCATAGGCTTTGAGCCATAGGGATGGTCCACAGCCATAGTGCCAAGAAAGCCCTACTTGTCGGGCTGCTTGTTGTGGAGCATGATTTGGCCCTTCACGCGGTATGTACACAAAGGGTCGGGTCCTATCTCTGGAGGATGCTGGTGGAAGTGAACAAACTCTGAGAGAATGATCCGATCCCGGATTGATGGAACAAAACTGCACATGATCAAGCTGAACAAAAACCATATCAAAACAAAAGAAAAGACAAAAGCAACAGCGGCAGTAGCAACTGCAACAAGGATGCAATTATGCCATTGACATGTTATGCACATATATATATATTACTTATATATACAGTGTATACAGTATATATGTATCACTGGAACAGTGCGACCAAATCGATGTTGGGCATCTGGGCATCTTTGAACCTCACAGCAACCGGTCTCTAGTATTCAAAGATATTCAAAGTATTCCTCTGAATTGGACCCAACCTACTGTTGGAATTCTAAAGTATACGTCCCCGATCCACTGTGGAATCGAACCCAATACTAACTAGCGCTTGAGTACATCCGTACATCCCATGTTATTTCATTATCAGTAGCAATGGATGATGTTGGTAAAGGGCCGCCGTCAAACATAGTGATAAATAAACCTTTACAAACGGTTACTGGCAATGAGACACACCCACACTCCCAAACTGGTTCCATATGGGTGCATCTCTGAAACCATCCAAGGTTTGGGAAGTCGTCTCATCGAAACAGGAAGACCCCCGAAAAAAGGTGTCTCAGCGTCCCAAGTACTGCACAGGGTCTGTCAGAAGCACATAGCGCCGGCCAGGGACAGATTCATGCCCTGCAGCGTTATTCGAGTGCTCCAAAACCACACACCAACATCAAATAAGACTTGTACTCCGGAGTTACTCCGGCCATTAATTATGCAAAACACATCCGATAGAATCAAATAACGGTGTATAGTATAGTAATGTGTAGTAGACTTAATAGTGTGCTTTTAATCGAGGGATATGAAAGGTGCACAAGTGTGTATACACGTGTGTCATTCCTATATGGGGCATTGTGGACTCTGAGCAGAACCATCCTACCAATTCACAAGTTCTGGTTCATGCATGTTCCATAACCATTTGTACATGGTAGATCATGGGAACAAAAATGCACGCCTTCTAATGACAATGCGAGGGTGGCCAAAAGCTAGCTACCGAGATTGGAATGAAACCTGATCAGCACAAATTCAGCGATGAATGGACAATGGACGAGATGGACGAGTTGATATGACATGAGTCATGAGCTTAGAGAAAGGGCTGAGCCGAGGTGAGATAAGCTTTGCAAAAGCAAAGGCAATGGAAGAGACGAGGCAAAATGAGGGTTGACCTGTGCAGTTTCTTGTGATGTGTTTGTACAAGTATATAGATATAGATATATATATATATAGGCACCTGCATTATGTCTATATATGATTATACAGTATATGTGATATCAATCTATCTTTGAGTGAAAATAATAATGCGAGTGGAACATGCTCAGTGACGGTGGAGGAAGATACTGCCAATGTCACAAGATGTCACAACTCTGGGTGGTACTACTCGCGGTGCTACTTGCGGTGCTGTCGCAATTCCAAGGTCCGTTCGCCATCAACTCACTGCACCGAGGCACCATAGAGCTTTGGCACCAGAACGCTATGCTTCTCGAGAGCCTTGTCGAGATCACGCCGCAACGGGAGCGAATCGCGTAAGACGAGACCAGCCGTGTCTTAAACGAAACGCCCGCGCAAAGGGCCTGAACGTCTCATGACATTCCCAGCAGGGAGCTGCTGTAGTGTTGATGAGGCTCTAGCTGTGGATTCTCTTTGACTCTTCAACCATAGGATTGAACATGAAACCATTCAAAGCTTAGGTGCGACCTCTCAACTTGTGACAGACTGATCGTGGATTTTTAGGTCCGACGGACTCAAAGACTCAAAGACTACTTCTCCAAGTCCTGGCGAGACGATATAACCTAACAGACTCAAAGACTCAAAGACTTAGGGTTTGGTCCATATAATTATTCATTTCACACTCCAAAAAGCAATAGGTGGCATCGCCCCGAAAGGATGACCATCTTCCTCCACCGGTACAGTATTTTCCATGTGTTCCCCTTCCGTGAGCATTTTAACGAGTGTAAGTTACCTCCATGGCTTGTTTGACTTGTTCCATGTTTTTTGAAGTTGACCAGGCTTTGAGAGACGAAACGGCTGCTTGCTCTAAAGCCGAATTTGGCTATATGGTCAGCTGTTGGCCTACTGTTCGCTGTTCTGATGCCAAATTTTGGGCTTCTAGGGCAAACCCCGTATCTGCTGCATGACACAGTACTTGCTGCAAGTAGAAACAACCGATCTTTTGCCATCATTTGCCGTCGGGAACAGCACGCTGTTGACAGTCTGCAAACGGCTTGTTTGGCGCAAAATCATGTCTGATGGGTCCTGGGCCTGTCTGGAGGCGCCGTTATTTCAAGGGACGTCCTTAGAGCCCGCTCGTCATCTTCAAAGGAAAAGGCCCTCATATTATGCCTTTATGATCCTGATGTAGATAGACATGTGTGAGTACCCAAGCACCTCAACATCAGGCCACCTCATGTTGAGATAATTTGGCTGTGAGAGGACCTTATCTAACCACATGCAACACACCGACCGCCCGTCTTGTGGGATTTCCAAAATCACGTTCGCCTTCTGAAGGTCTCGATTCAGAAAGAAGGCCAGTTCGTTGGCATAGCTCTGCAAGTTCCTCTCCCACTTTTGCTTTTCCTCAGGTCCAACGGTCCAACGAAAGGACGGCGTTCCACCACATGCATGGCAGTTGCCGCTTCGAAAGGGAAGAGATGGTCGCCTCGGAAGACTCATATTCTCGTCGAGTCCGCGCCAGTGGTTTAGGAATGGGGGATCTCATGTCAGAATGGGAGCTTAGTGTCAAAGAAGCAAGCAAAAGAATGTCCAATATGGTCGCATCCTCGAGGGAATTTGTTGGTCCCTAGCAGGTGACCACTTTCGTGCCAGTTGGGCGGGCGTCGTTCAGTCCTCGGAAGCCCTGCTCCATGACTGGCTCCACCGGAACATGACTGGTTCCAATGCAGGATGCGTTCGGCTTGGCACTGAATCACCTCTTCTGGGCACGGCTGAATCGACCGAAAGCATGGCTTCGACGGGCCACAACATGGCCCGTCAAGGCCCAAAAATCCGAACGGGTCGCCATCTGCACGTCAGACATCTTTGGCAGCAAGATGCAGCAAGTCTCCAGTCCCAAACGAGGACCAAACGATGGCTCCGAAAGTAAAGATCTAGAAGGTATACTTGGAACGGTCCCGGCCCTGAATGCCAGATCCACATTGAAGGCAAGTGGACCAGTCTAGTTGAACAAGTCCTCATCAATTTGTTGCCGACTTCGCAGGAAGAAACGCCCATAGGGTGGATCGACCATGATGTCGCTGCTCACGGAGCCAGGCACATCCGTCCAAATGGGCGATGTGCTTGGTATCTTCACCTGGACGGGTCAAATCCAGAAACCCGGTGGAGGACGGTGCGACATGAATCGCTGCAGAGAAGCAGTTAGGGCCTGTTTCATGGCACAAATCAAGTTCCTCCATGGTGTAGTTGTTCATAGTTTTTCTATGTTGTCTTCGTCAATCAAGGTTCACCAAGGGGCCACCCATCCCGACCAATGGGGGATAGAAATTGATTGCAAGAGTATCGCCTATAGAATCTGAGTATTCTACCTGCCGCAGTCGTGGGGCGACAATTGTTTTTCAGAAATCAAAGGAGGTAAGCTATTGGAAGCTTGGAGAGAGGAATTGTTGTAGACACGTTCCCAAATCTTTGTGCCTCCACCGCCTCCACCGCGTAGGCCGCGGCCGAGGCAGCCACGCCCGCGCCGCCGAGCTCGCGATGCCAACGGCCGCCACCCTCCATGAGCGGCCGAGGGGGATCGGTGGCCGGAGAGGTGGGGATGGGCGTGGTCCACCAGCCGACCATCAAGGTGAGACGACGTCCAGGATGGTGAGGCTCCTGAGTGGCGGAGAATGGGTTTACACATTGCAAAGAAACACATATACACTGTGGATTTGGAGTAGTGAAAAAACAGTGGCTCTCAACTTGAGGCACTCACCATCTTGCCCATGGGCAACTACCACTTTCCACTTCCAAGTTCAACAATACACATGGGCCAACCAACCACAAAGCAACTCTCTATTCCTGTCCCTGCCCTACGAAAATGCTCTCCTCCATCCATGGTTTCCCTGGCATCACTCCATGTAGGTATCCACCATCAAAAAAGAGCTGCCGCCCCATCCGCGGTCGCACCAGCGCACCGCTTCCGCCGCCCAAAGTGGCGCCCCCATGCCGTTGGTCAGTGACCAGGGTGGGACCGAAACGAGGGGTGTCCTTCAGGAGATTCAGTCGATTGAGCAAAAAAACACGTCAGTTCTGATATGCTTGTGTCCAAACAAGTAGTAACATCATATAGGTAAATTGCATTTAATGGCAACACTTCCTCGGCCACATAATATATAATATGGTATATATAATATAAACAATTAAACATATATATATATATATACTTGAGAGAGGAGGGGGTGAACGAAAGGTAGCAGGCAATCAACCCTGGTAGAAGTCCATGACGGCGTGAACCGGCGCAGGGGGGATTTGATCCAGGGCGGGGCCCCCCCCCCCCCCGACGAACAGAATCAACTCTTACAGGACCAAACTCAATGCACAATCCCAACTCCTGATTGTAATACATTTTTGCTAAAGCAAGGAGAACTCAGGTAGCTCAAGCTACCTTTCGTGATAAATATATAAACTGTAAACCATTCTTTGGCCCCTACTTGGATGCATGGGGGTGCATGGTTGTGCACTCACATGAAACGAAAACATCCTTCATCACTGACACGTGTTATCACGTGTTCCATGATGTTCCATGTTCTCTAAGTGAGCAGAAAGACTGAGAGGTGGGCATTGTCTATGGGTCGTTGCGGTCATTGGAAGTGGATTGGGCCAGCTCTATGGCAAATGGAGAGTGACCCGCAAACCTTGCAGTATCTGCGTGATAGGCCGGCAAAAGAGGTAACAGTCCCTTTAGTGTAGCCTGCGCTGATACATCTCCTGTAATGTTGGATCATGTTGGATCTTAATTAGCGGCCCCCCTGCAAATAATCCAGGGAGTCTGACAAGTAGCCCGCCACAAAAACAATTAGTAGTAGCTGTGGCAGAAGAAGAAGAAGAAGTAGTAGTAGTAGTAGTAATAGTAGTAGCAGTAGCAGCAGTAGTAGTAGCAGTAGCAGTAGCAGTCGCAGTGGTAGTCGTAGTAGTAGTAGTAGTTGTAGTTGTAGTGTAGTAGTTGTTGTTGTGGTAGTAGTAGTCGTAGTAGTAGTAGCAGTAGTAATGGTGGTGGTGGTAGTGGCGCTGGTGGTAGTGGTAGTAGCAATAGCGGTAGCGGTAGCGGTAGCGGTAGTAGTAGTAGTAGTAGTACTACTACTACTACTACTACTACTACTAGGAGTCGTAGTACTAGCAGTCGTAGTGGAAGAGTTAAGCAAGGATTTGAAAGGCAGCAATAGCAAAACAAAATAAAGTTAGTTCTTTTCCCCTTAGGGCTCCAAGTTTGCTTATTAATCCAACCCCCTAAACAATTGATAATATTCACTTCCCCTGTGCTTGTGCACTATCCCCTTGAAAATTGTTTGGAGCAATGAAATCGTTGAGTTTTAATAAGCGTTTTTGAAAACGATTTCCAGGCCAGAATTCCATGAATCAAACAAACCTCAGAAGAGTTAAGTAAGGATTCGAAAGGGCAGCAATAGCAGAACAATAAACAAGTTAGTTGTTGTTTCCCTTAGGGAGGGCTCCAAATGGCTCCAAGTTTGCCTATTAACTCCACCCCCTACACAATTGATATTATTAACTTACCTTGGGCTGGTGTACTACTCCCTTGGAAAAAAAATGTTTGACACAATGAAATCGTTGAGTGTTAATACGGCAGGCCCTGGAATACAACACACACTCACACTACGTCCTTTACATGCCCCTCACGATTGAGGGCTAGCAGCCATTCCCCTACAAATGTTGGCGCTCTCACACTGCACCTGTGGGGTGACTTGGCTGGGCGTTCTCCCGAAAAGCGTCACTGGAGGCTCCAACCTCGACCAGCGGTCCTGTCCTGGCAAAGGTAAACCACGCTGCTCACAGCAGGGTGCTCCACAGAGGTTCCAAAGCTGTCCCGCAGGAGCTGCTCCTGCAGATGGGGCTCCCTAACAGCCGTTAGGTGGGTGATTTAGGAGAGAAGAAAAGGAAGTCAAGGAGCAAAACGTTCAATATGAAGGCTCACTAGGCCAGGCGATCCTACGGGCTTCTTTTTTGGAGATGCAGTACAGTGCAGTAAATCTTCCATGCCCTGTTATTGCCCTAGCCCTAGCCTTTCCAAGAATGAGAGTCATTCGGAAATTGTATGTATGACGTTGCCATTCAAATAGTTTGGCATTCAAACAGTTTCATCATTTGCTAGCAACAGTTGTAGAACGGGCACCCGATTCTGAGTCGCACCGTGGACGGGTGACAATAAGTTGAAGTCCTCAAGCCCAAAGACCCACCTTTAGACACGTTATCTTAGACAATTTAAATAAAACCTTTATGACAGCCTCAGGAATGGCAAACGAAACAAATACTCGCGAGTGGCAGTACTCTGACCAGAGTGGCCAACATTTTCTACTTGAGTCAGGGGTCAAGACCCTGCCAAACGACATGAACAAACAACTGATCAAATCCATACGTCGACTTCCTTCAGCTGAGGATCATTGGTGTCGAAATGTAGTGGATGACCGTGCCACTGATCACCAGCTCTCTGGTGCACCCACCACTCGGCCACCGTGAAGTGCTTGGCCTCCGTTCCCCCATGCAGAAGCTGAACAAGGCCCTCAAAAGGTGAAACAATCAAGCGAAAAGCGCCAGAAACTGCAGGAAAAGGGAAGCTCTGTTGCAAAGCTATGGTAAACTTCACAGTTTCATAGCCTCAAAATGCGTAGTGTGAGTGTTTTTCTGTGTGTGTAAGTGTGCCTGCTAGCTGGCAGGTTGACTGCCACACGTGCTGAACCACAAGCCATCACAAGCCCATCACTTTTGACCAACTTGCGAATCCTTCACGCTCGGCTCAGTCAATGCTGCAAATTGGAGATGACAGCACCAGCAGCTTCAATCGTGTTCAACTCTGTTTGCTGTGACACTTGAGTCGTTTGTTTGGTGAAGTATGTTGAATCAGGTTCGTTCCTGTTCAATTGAAGTGGCTTCATTTTGACAATGATGTTCCAAACCCACCGCCCCAACACTACCCCCGTGGCTAAGAAGGCACTGGAACAAAAAGGGGTCCCGTTGTGTCGGGGAGTATGCACGGGCAGTTTGGGTGCTTATCATTGCATAGATGGGCTGAAAGTGCTTTGCGACCAAAACATTGATGCACCAAACACCTGCAATCCGGCGTAGCGCCCCTTCCAACTTGGCGCTCAGTTCTCGAATCACAGTATATCTTTACAGTGGCTTCAAACTGCATAGACTATCATAGACGATAGAATTCTCTCTCAAACATGACTCCAAAACATGGTTTCTGTTCCTTCTTGGTGGGTGAAGCGTACCTCATTAGGTCGCACGAACACTTGACTCACCTGAGGCATCAGCTCTTCGAGCGTTGGCCGCATGGCTTCGATCAGCTGATCGATCACGTGATCCGTCTGAGAAGGCCAGTGCGCATGGGAGTAGAAGGTCACGTCAGGGCTATGATAACCTCAGCTGAGCTCTCAGGGTCACGTCCGGGCTGATTTTGTGATGGTTCACGTTGCTTGGGGACTTTGACCCGTGGAATATCCTTCAGAGTCCAGCCATCTATTTACAGCAGTTTCTGACTGTAATAGCGTAGAGTTGAGTGAAATTATGTGAATATAGTGGCTCGCCGTTGCCTGAAGAAATGGGACTAAATCATTTTTCAGCCGTGCCAACGGGTGCAGTAGAACTCGTCCTACAAGTGGTTTCTTCCAACAAACTCTTCCCGTTCCGAAACGCACAGAAAAATGCCACGGCACGATGATCCGCCCAATAGCTGGCCTTCGGGTGCAAGGCCTCACTTGCCTGCCTCGGCCCGGATTCTTGAAACGTCAAACAAAAGTCATTGCCATTCTGAGTGTCTTGGACGCGCCAGCCAACAATGGCTGTTGCTGTTGCTCAATGCCAGCAACTCATCCGATGATCTTCGGGCTTTACTGGTCGATCTGGCCAAAGCCGGAAACACATGCCCCGAACAAACCTAGTCATTTTGACTTCGGACACAATGCGCCGGCGTTCGAGGGAAACAAAGCTCCCCGCCTCACAAGATCCATTGGCAGGGCATTGTCCACAACCTGAAGAGATTACTCAAAAAAGAGAGTGTGTGTGGTGTGTGCATGCTTGTATGTACGCAACAAATAACAAACATGTACAAGTACAAGTAAAATATATCGATTGATACATTATATATATAATATGTGTGTATCCAGGAGAGAATATATACTGTACTGAATACTACTGAACCCTACAGTATGTTTTTCTTAGTGGTGATAAAAACCAGAGAGTTAAACACAAAAACAACAGTAACAACAACAACAACAGCAATGTTTGTTGTTCTTTAAGACTGTTTGGGGGCCTAGAGGTGGGTATAAAATTATATAATAGAGATTGAACAAGCATCCCTTCCGGGGCCGGAGATAGTTACTATATAAACATCTACAGTATAAAAATCTAAAAAATGAGTTGTACGTGTAATACTGTTGATGGACAAAATCCTGCACCACCTCACCACTTTACCCTGG